AGCTTTGGAAGAAACATGGTATATTTAATCTGTTTTGGTTTCATAGTCATTAGAACTTCTTTTCAGTACCGGGCCCAGTGTGCTCTGTGCCTTCTTGCTCCTTGAGCATGAGTCGGCTTGCCTCTATGGCTTTTCATTCTGGATCTGCAGCCTCACAGAGTGAAATCGGAACAAACATCCTTGCATGGATTTCTTCTTCCTTTTCTCTATACAGTGCTGTCAGCTCAGGGTAACTTTGATGACTGTTCTGGTGTTTGGACGAGCTCCTCGGATTGCCTGACCAGACAGTTCCCTGATGGGAACTCAGCTCCAATCCATCATGTGTGTTTGCTGTGAAGAAGTCCAATAGCATCAAAACTTTATCGCAGGACAGCGTTGCTGCCCACTGCTTGCTCTTTCTTAATGTCCTGAAGGCTTGCATATGCAGTTACTTTGAATCTCAAGGCAATTTCTGGACAGAAAAAGCATAAAAATGTACTAATAGTTCTCTACTGACCCAAGTGGGCTTGGCTGACTGGTCTAACAAAAAGTTGTTATTTATATAGGCTGATCTGTGCAGAGGTCAGGCCTCACCTTTCTTCTACCATTCCCTGTAAGGGTGAGCAGCCCAAGTTGGTCAAGGGAATTCTTCTCGGAGGGATGAAAGGAGCAAGAGATTCCCAGCAGCCTGATCACCACTCATCGTAGTCCTAGACAGCATGAAGAGTGTAGATAAAAGTGCCTGGTGCTGTAACATTAGCGCAGGTGCTGCTGTCTCCTAGCTGTAGTCCGAGTGATTTACCTTCCTGCCACAGGTTTTGATGGGATCACTCTGTTTGGTCTGCGTGGTCTCAGTGTAAGTGGATATTAGGCATTTTTCCTTTCTGTGCCTCACAGAGGTGGTGATAGCATTCTGTCTACTAGAGTAGTAATAGAAACATGGTTTCCAAGGTTAACATGCTGACTACAAGTGACAGTCAAGCAAGATCTCATCTCCGGAGTCAGTGAGCCCTCAAGACTGCAGGGCACTGCAGTATGACTGGTATATATTCTTCATTAAAAAAAGGGAGCAGCTACAATTGTTTCTGTGTAGGATCATCTGCGTCCTGAAACTGTCTGGCTCAAGTGATGAGAGCTGGATTCCCCCAAGCTTAATATAAACACTTTGGCTATAGAGACTCTTAACCAATGGAGATAAATTACGCATTTCTAAAAGGCAACTGAGATCTTATATAGGCTGATTGACAGAGCAGCTGTCTGCTGCAAGTGATTTTGTAACGTTTTATACTACAGTATTTGTGTAGATATGCTCTTCATAATCATTGGAAGCTTCTTCTTATTTTTTTTAATGTTCGGATGGAGTCCCTATCCAAAGGTGTGACAGGGACTCCACCCAAGTTTGTTTGTTTGCTTGTTGGTTGTTGTGTTTTGTCTTGTGTGTTTTTTGGGGGTGGTTTTTTTTTGGGTTTTGGGTTTTTTTTTTTTTTTTGAGGTTTTGGGGTGGGTGGGTTTTTTTGGGGGGGTGGATAGATTGATACTACTTGATTAGGATTTTTAAGATTCTGGAGTTTGAGGGATTGAGGCGGGTAGGGCTTGTGGCTTGTGTGTGATTCCTTTAAGAGGGCAGGTTATCACGTAGGGCATATGCTTTTAGCTTTTTATCAGCTTTACGCTCTTGTTGGCAGAAGTGTTTTAAAATGCTTTTCCTCACCAACTCAAGATGTGGCTTGATATTTACTATCAAAGCTATTAATGCAAAAACAGTCCTAGGTAACTTTATCCCTTGAAATTCAAAGAAGGTTTAAGGAATATGAGAATTATTTGAAGGTGAACAAAACCTGACTTAAAGACTAAGTTATTGTCTGCAAGTAAATTACTTAAGACATTTGGTAGTTATTTCCTGAAGTTACTCTCTCTGAACCCCAGAAGCAATTGAAAAGAATTGGTAGACGTGTGTGTAAGGAAATGGTCTCTCTAAAAACAAACAAACAAAACCACACTTTCCTGTTCTGCAGTGTCTTATTTCTCTAACTTAATCTCTAGAGGCCCATGGAATTCTAGTTCTGCACATGCGAGATTTAAGCCAAGGTCTCATTTAGGTTTAAGACAGTAAAATATAGGAAGGGGAAAGAGCAGGGAGAACCAGGGGTAAGAAGAAATCTTTACAGAACAGATTAGTAATATCGAGTCCATCGAGCTAAGCTAAATAAGCTAAACAAACTGTCAATAGAAAGAGTTGAAAGATCTATTCATTCTGAGTAAATGTGTGCTGTTGCAATCTACCATAGAGGAAAATATACTTGTTATTTAATTTTAGGTATGTTAGATCATAATTGTACTGTCAACAGATGCGTAGCTAACTGAATTTTCTCATTTAATGAGGGCTTTGTGTTTTCCGTTTCTGCTTTGGTGGTCATATGTGATGTGCTGGTCTGTCATTTTAGGTAGCTAATGGTTCCTGTCTGTGGTTTCATATTCTCAGACCTGTGTGTTTTCCCTTGAGGTTTTACAACTTCTCTTCTTCAGTGTTAAAACTATCTGTTATCTTTGAGACCAATGTCAGTGCCATTGTTATGCATCAGTTAGCAAAAGGAATGGTTTGCAGCTGTTGTCCCTTATACAGAGATTTTGGTTGGTTTTTTTTTTAAGCTGCTTTTTAGTTTGTGGAAGAAAGGCAGCTGTTTGTATTTGGGTCATGGTGCAGGCAGTCTGAAACTCAAGTGGTTTTTTGTTGATTTATTAGGTAGCTTCCAGCATAATACTTGTGGTGCTTGGTCTAAAATCTGTGCTGTGTTGCAGACTGACATTTGCAGGTAGTATCAAAGTCAAGTTATTTGGGTTGTCCATAAGAAAACTGTGTAATCTTTCAAAGCTATTCTCATTTTGTGCACAGTTCAAATGCACTTTAAGCAGGATTGCCATTAAGCAGTATTGCCATTAAATTATTACATACCCAAGTGTGATTTAAATTTCTCTCAAGAATTCTAGACATAGTAATTTTGGATTTTCAAAGTGGGAAAGAAAAGAGCAATTTAGAGATATGTAAATATGTAAAAACATATACATACTTCTTATTCTTCTTGATTTCACACCTCAGAGGTGTACAGAACATTTGGAGATGGGAGGGGAAAAAACCCTGCATTTCATACCAATCCACTTACTGCAGCTGGCACCTTTGTAATACACCATTACAAAGTCTGATTCTAATTGCTTTATGCATTTATAGATGCTAATATGTAATAACTACTGAATGGGAAATTGACTATACTGTTTGTCAACTTGCTTTGGAGAATGTGAAGGACATAATGTTGCCTGGCTAAAAAAGAAACTTAATATGATAGTCTCTCTGGCGTGGGAAAATGTTATGCATGTTAAATATCTATCACATTTTCCTTGTTCTTTAGTGTCAAAGCAAGAATTTATAAAAAACACATTTTTTTTTTCTGAGATTCTTGTATTTTCAGTTTTTTTCTAGCTGAGGCTATTCAGTTTTTCATAATGAAACTACTCGGGCTTTCTGAACAACACTAACAAATGTTCTTCAGTCTTTCCTTAACCAGATAGTTTTGTCATGCTTTTCTGTGCTTTGAAGTGTTAGTTTTTTTTACCTTATGCATCCAGACAGCTTTATTTAACTATTCTGATGGAATTTGGCTTTGTCTGTGGCTGAATTTTAGAGTTAATCTGCTTGACCATCAGGTGAATGATGAAGAAATTAGTATGTCTGAAAACACTTATGCAATGGAAATAATGTCTAATACTTGTTGAGGAATAAGCTAGTTTGAGTAACATAAAATTAAGGAAAGAATGTGAAATGAAGAAACGTTGTTTTCACCCTTGTTTGTGCTATGAATGACTTCCAAAGCCACCAGCACTGTATTTGTGTGTACATGCATGCAGTTAAGTTCTCTTAGAAAGTAATTATAAAATGTTAGGGAGATATGAAAATATTTTAAACGTCGGACTATAATAGTGGTTGGATGTTATTTATGTGGTTAATATTCAAAATCCCTTTTTTTCTATTCTGTAGGGGTTTTAACACAGAAGCATAGTAAGAGGGATGCTTTGGTCATGTTACAGGAGTCAGTGTGACTGAGATTAGTGAATGTGTAGTTAGTTATTCCATTTCCCTAAAAGGTTTCCTGTGGTAACTTCTAAAAAGGTGACTGCCACTCTGAAAACCTATTGGCACTTGGGCTAAGCTGCTTATATCACCTGTACTGATGCACCCATACTCTGAGATTCTTGCACTAACCAGGGTATGTATTACACCAGTAAAGGAAGCACAACAGAAAACTCTCTCAGTTCTTCCTGTAGCTGTAAAACAAGTAGTAGTCTCTCTGTTAGTTCATAACTTCAATGAAAAACTTTTCAGAAAATAATAAGTGTAGAATTTTAATTGCATCTTGATTTACTGATCATCTTGGGAAGATTATGAAATAAGTACTTTATCTGTCCAACACAGAAGGACAGCTGCACGTTGAGAGAATTTCAGGTTCTGAACAGTCTGTCTCTTTCAAACCTTCTCTAAAGAAACATATACTTGAACTCAAGAAATAAAATAAATAACTGAACTGGACAATCTATTCATATGAGGGTCCTTTGACACTTTAGATAGAAACTAGAGTGAGTAAGGGTATGCCTGCAGTTACAGGACAAGATCAAAAATGGTAATGCTGTGTTGGAAAGTACACCCTTGGGTTTTATAGATAAAGGCAAAGCATTTTTTACTTCAAGACTGAAAATTTGTTTCATAATTGTTGTTTTTACTGTATTAATATAACAAAAATCTTTCTTGTGATACTTCAATTTTAATTCTATATTCAGTGTGTTGCGTACAAAAAATGTTTTCTGTTTTGCAATAGCAGCCTTAAGTTATTCTTCAAGTTAGTATTTGATGATGCGCTACTAAAAAACTATATAATCAACAATTTCTGAAGGGAATTACTATAACGTAATAGTGTTTATAAGATTTTTAGAAATCCTTTTTCTAACCTCTAAAAATTTGCTGTATTAAAATAGGTTTCCTCCATTTTTTGATGACAATCCATTTGGTATATATCAGAAGATTCTTGCTGGCAAAATAGATTTCCCGAGGCATTTGGATTTATATGTAAAGTAAGTCCATGACTCCAAACACTATCTTTTATATTCTAAACACCTCCTGAGCACTGTTTCTAAAGGATCTTCATAGAAGACCAGATACCAGATTCTGATTTTTCTAAAACACCATGTTGGAAAACATTTTAGATTACTTTTACTCTCGCAGTCCAAATAAAATTATGTGTTTGGTAAACTTCAAGCTGGAGATATAGTTGTAAGATAGTATCTGCCTCTCTTACTTTTTTGCATATTTTGGAATATTAAATGCTTTTCCACCTTGTACAAAGCTCATTGGTACCGGGCTAGTGTGTGGAAGGAAGAAAAGAGGAGAAATATGAGGAGATAATTTAATACGAATAAAAACTAGGAGAGCAGGAAGTGAACACTAAACTGTTCCTTTGTGTGCAGATGTACCAGCTAAGTCACTCTCAACATAACTACTTGAATGAACTTTCTGATACTTCAGAAGTTCCAGTGTAAAATCGACTTCTGCTTCTGATAGCAGGGCCCCAGTTCAGTATGCAGTCTTATATATGTGTGGGTTTTATTCATAGTATTTTGCAATTTACATGTATATTGCAGATGAAATGTTCTTTTCCCCTATTTAAAACTTCCATAATTGAAAAAAATTGTTAGTAAGCATTAGAACAGAGGAAATGCAATTTTAAACATTAAGTTTCTCCTCAGAAGCAGACATGAGTGAGTGAGTGAGGACGGGAAGTTATTCTTGCATTCCCAGGTTAATCGTTCAAGGTGTTTCAAAGAAGTGACCTTAGAGGTGGCACTTGCTTACTGTCACCACTAGGTAAATAGATAAAATGAGTTTCTCACATAGTATTGTGTGCACTAAAGTATAAGAGTGTGACCAGAAGATGAACAGCTCAAAGTAGGTTATTATCACTAGCAACCTGACTAACACGGTGAAAACGTTTAAAGGTAGAGATGCTGTTAGCTTCTATTTGTGCTCAACATTCACAGACCAGCACTGACTTCTACTATCCAGAAGAGGCCTGATGTGAAGTTTCCTAGTTACGGTAGTAAGCATGCATATGCAGGTTTTGCTCTTCAGTCTAGACGTGACTGTCAGTGAGTTGTAGGATACATTAATCAACATAGCTGTTGATACACCTCTATCCCAGCTTTTCTTATCCAGATGTTCTTTCAGTGTGTGCTTGGCAGCTCATTCCCATTACACTCCTGCCTTTAAGGGGTCTCATGGGATTCTAGCTTGGGCTTTCCTCGTTTCACAGCTTGTTTTTTTGGGTGATCTCATTCATTTGCATGGCTTCACCTGCTTTCTGCAGTGAGTTGTTAACATAATGTATCTCTCTTGTTCCATCAACCCCTCTTTCTTTTCTTTTTAAACCACTTACCTTATTGGTATCCCATTTGCTTTCTCTCTCTTCTTCCTTATCAGTTGGTATCTCAGCAAGGATGAAGACTATCTTGGATCCTGTCACATCCAGGCTATGTCTGAAGTATTAGTGCTATACAGTGTTTATAACAATGAAACTTTAACTCTTTGCTCCTAGGCAGCAAAACTATTTTCCTTTTTGAAGTCTGAGAGAACTTTTCTACCTAGATGTACTACATAACCTTACTGGCTGACATTTTTCTACCCACCTGCCCCCTACGACCTTCTTGCGCTTTTTATCTTTTGAATTTGTACCACTTTTGCTTCCCCTCTTGTTGCATGATGTTCACTCTCTCTTACTGTGCTGTATAACTGCTGTGTGTCTTGTGTAAGTGCTGTTCCTTCTGGCCTGAGCTAGCATCTCTTCACATTGCTCTCTACTGTGTCCCTTTTGTTAGCCACCTTGCAATTTGATCATGTTTTCTTCCAGTCCTTTGTCCTGTACACGTGAAGTCCTTGATACATTTGACCATTAGTTCAGATCACTTCTAAAGAGCAGCTTCTGCCATGTGATGATAAATTAACCAACTAGACATTCCAAAGAAAGACTCAAGAGTTTTGTGTTACTTCATTTCTGATAAAATATAAGTACTAATTATGCTCCACCCATTTCTTTGGCCACTAATGAGTTTGTAAATTATTTCTTTATATTTTTCTTTTTTTTTGTTTTTGTCTTTCCTTTGCAAAGGCAGTTTTGGAAAATACCAAATGAAACATCAGTGCTACAGCAGTTTAGTGATTATTTGTCTGGAAAGACCTTGATGTAGAAATTCATTCCCCAAATACATACAGCAACATAGCTATTGGATTGACATTAACATGATTATTTCTAAATTATTCTTTAGAAACTATGTAGGAAAGAAGCACTAAACTATCTACTACTCGATTCACTGTAATGGATATTTGTTCTATTGAATGCAGCAAATGTCTTCATCTTTAGTGACAATACCGTATCACTGAGCAAGCTCATCCCTTAACTGTGCTTTTCTAAGATGAATTTTTGAAGCAAGACAAGAATGATCCATTGAATGTTTTCTGGTTATATAGGAATAGGAAACTCCATGATTTATCTTTGGCCATACAGCCTGTGAATCTCGTTCTGGGTTTCTGGATTTCTTTTCAGCCCTATTTCTGTTTTTAAAGTCTGGTTGTAGACCCAAAGGTGACTGTAAAAGGAGTCAGTCACATGATTTAGTCTAATCCAGACATTGATTGGCTGGAACGATCATGATAGTTTTAAAAATTGCTTTCTACCTTGACTTTTTTATTCTCCTTTTATCTGGCAATTGAATATTTTTCCAATTGAATTTTAGAACTATATTCCTGCCAAATACAACAGCTTTTCAAATAGTCTAGCACATTCACTCTCAGTTCATATATTCTTTGTGCTTACGCTTTTGTGATTTCAAGGATAGGTGACAGAATACTGTTTTTGTTTTGGGATAGTAGGTGTTACAGTAAGGGGTGGAGAGAGGCAGGTGTGTCATTATGTTTGCATTCCTTTCTGTAAATAAAGTTGTTGGGTTTTTTTAAACCTTCTGCAAAGTTAAAAATTTGAATTAGTCATACTCTGCAGATACACAGCATTTCATGCAGTATTGCATCTCCCAGGTCTATCTGAGGCTGTAGAAACAAGAAGCGTGGCTAACTTCTCTTCTTTCCTGACTTTTGTACTTCATGTAATGAGACCAGAATGCTGCTCTTTTAAAAATAAATAGCAAAATAATCTTGGAGATATAAAGTAACTGCTTATAGAAATGTGAAGCCAGATTTTTGTCTCAACTCATAAGTAATCAAGCTAACTGAATAAATTGTGATACTTGCTTTGATTTATGTTGGGAGTTTTTTGGCACTTCATAGTTTAAGTACTTTGCTATTAAAATGGAAGTCCTTTGTGTCTCTAAACTTACATTCATCTTTTAAAATGTTGATTTAGCTTTATGTAGAAAAAAACTGCTCAGTGAACTAGAATCTCGGGGAAGGATTTTAATTTTCAATGAAATTAAAGCTTATAGATACTACAAGTTTCAGGCAGATGACTAACTCTTCCATGGTTTCTCTGAATATTTAGCTGCCACAGAATTTAAAAGTCAGTGTATAAAGTTGAGGGTGTGGCTTTATCTGTATTTTTTATATATATTAAGAGTTGTGTTCTGGCAAATAGGTTTGAGATCCATTTTGAGATTCAGAATGCCCAGCAAAATATAAAAATATAAGGAAAGATATGGTACTACTTGGGGGGACAGGGGTGGAGAGAAAGTTTTTCTCCTTTGTTTCTTAAAAGAGTCTAAAAGGAACTTGCAAGAATTCTGCAAATTCCTTTTCGAATAGGTTATTCCTTTTTATCGTTCACTCTTAGGTGTCCTAAAATATGAAGGAAATAAATAGGCAAATTATACACAGTATTAGCTAGTCAAAGGAAGTATGCTCATATTCTGTAATGTTTATATGACAGTCAAATATAAATTTTTTTTTTTGTTTAACAGAGAACATGTTTTCTTTACTGCAGAGACCTTATTAAGAAGCTGCTTGTGGTTGACAGGACAAGACGATTAGGAAATATGAAGGTCAGTATCATGCAGAACATAGCACAAGGTTGAAAGAATTCTGGAGGAAAGATGTAGAACAGCTTTTTTTTGGCTTTTGTTCATATAAGCATGAAATTGAGATATGTTTTCCCATACATTACTTTGGTTGTGCAATCATAAATGCAAAGTTTAAATGTGTATTTCTGAAAATCATAGTCCTGGATCATATTGTCTGGATTAATGCTATCATTCATGATAGTTTCTGCTCTCTGCTGCCCCCCACCACCCCCCCAAAAAAGAAAAAGAAACCCTACCTGTTTAGTAATTAATTTGAAGACTTACATTAGACCAGAAACATGGTGCTAAGTCCTGTAGGATAGGGCACCAGCTGATTTTCAAACTTTCTTTGAAGTTGTTTAATCCCAGAAGGAACACTAATCAAATTTGAAGCTTAAAAATTATTTTAAAGAATATAAGGGTTGTTGTAGTACCATGATGTTTGGTCATTGTCCTGATAGTTTGGTGGTGGGGCTGATAAAGCACAGTCAAATAGTCTTCCACCAAGAAGAATTATTCATCCTATTCTGAACAGACTTCTGAAGGCAGTAGCTTACTAGTCAAAAAATATGCTCCCATGCCTTGGGTAGCATTCCAGCCTACCTCAGAAATATCTATATCTGTGATATGTCAAGGAGGAACACAGACCAACCCTGTGAATTCTGTGAGATGTCCTGATGTGGTGGTAGAATCATAGAATCATGTGAAGATGATGATAGCTATGTTACAAGGTTATTTGATTCTGCAGCTGTGCAGTAGTGTTGTGGTTTAACCCCAGTCAGCAACTAAACATCACACAGCTGCTCGCTCACCCTCCCTGCCCCCACCAGTGGGATGGGGGAGAGAATCAGGAAAAAAAAAAGTAAGTAAAACTTATGGGTTGAGATAAAGGCAGTTTAATAGGACAGCAGAGGAAGAGAAAGTAGTAGTAGAAATAATAATGATGAAAGAATATACAAAAGAAGTGATGCACAATGCATTTGCTCACCACCTGCTGACCGATGCCCAGCCCGTCCCTGAGCAGTGATCGCTGCCCCCCCGGCCAACTCCCTGCCGTTTACATACCGAGCATGACGTCATATGGTATGGAAGAGCCCTTTGGTCAGTTTGGATCAACTGTTCTGGCTGTGCCCCCTCCCAATTTCTTGTGCACCTGGCAGAGCATGGGAAGCTGAGAAGTCCTTGACTGGTGCAAGCACTACTTAGCAACAACTAAAACATCAGTGTGTTATCAGCATTACTCTCATCCTAACTCCAAAACACAGGGCTATGCTACCTACTAGGAAGAAAATTAACTCTATCCCAGCTGAAACCAGGACAAGTAGCTATGGTTGGTAGTGCAGTGAGAAGTTAGCTGCATGTGAACTAACTTGGGTACTTTAACAGGCTAGCCAAAGCACCACACAAAACGCAGTGTAGGTTAATTTACCCTTCTGGTAGAGTAAGTTAATCCTATATTCATTGGGTTGTTATTGTTGTTACAGCATTGCAGATACCTAAATTACCTTGTGTAATCTTTTAGTTCTTTGGAGACAGCTAAAATTTCCATTTTCCTGGGCAGGGGAAGTTAGAGGTTTGCTCTTTTGCACAAAGCACAATTTAAGTTGCGCATAGGGGAAGAAGGTAAAAGATGCACAGTCATCCACGTTCCTTGAACATATTGATATAGGTATAGATGCTAAGACCTGCTGTCCAGAGTTCCTTTTCAGAGCCTTTTATGGCACAGATGTGGACTGGTAAGAAAAGCTAGGAAATTAATGTTGCCCGTATCCTTCAGAGTTCTTTGCAGTGTTTTTGGGGAGGGTGGCAGGAGGATTAAAACCAAACTTTCATAAGCTGACAATTTAGAAAGTTATTGACCAGTGCAAACTTTTATATCTTCTGGCAGTTTTGAAGGAAAACAAAAGCAAACCTTAGTTTATTCAGACATGGGTTTGGGGAAATGTGTTTGGCTGGCTTTTTTTTGTTTGTTTATTTAGTCTCTGGTTGGTTTGGTTTGTTGGGGGTTTTCCCCTACAATTGGCTAAAATGTCAAAATTAAAAATAGTTCTAATTAGAAGCGGGGTTTGGGGCGGGGGCAGTAGGTCAGTCTTAAGTCTGATCCTTTTCCATAATCATAGTTGGTTTAAAAAGATTTAAATCCCATTGGGCATTTCCTGGTGAAGCATTCAATCAGATCTGTTTTCGAGTGAACTAGGTGATAAATTACTCTCCTTGTTGCCTCTTTGGATATGAATATGGATAGTCCCACTCTGTATAAATCTGAAAAAAATAAATGTGTGGTATGCCTCATTCCATGGAACTGCATGTGGTATGAGCTTGAGTGCTGTGCATTAAAGCTGTGCTGTGATCAGGCCTGAGACAGAGAACCAGCTGGTTTTCCCCAGTGCTTAATGCCTTGAGCATGAGTCTGTTCTTGAACCAAGCTTCATCCTGGGGGAAGGGGGAGAAGATATTTTCATTCTTTATTTACATAATCAAAACAGTCAGCCTAACGAGAATAATCATTACAATACAAATATGCCTTTAACCATATATCTAAAATGAAACAAATGGGTTTATATATATACTTTTGTAACAGTACTGAGAACCTCTTGCTGTTGGCACTAATCATCTGTAATATTTGATAGAAATACATGCTTCCCAGATACGATTTTTAAGACACCATCAGCCCTCGTTTGGGTTTTTTTTTTATTATTAGTGTAAGAATTAGAAAGTATTTCTGAATAAGAGGCATTCTCTAAAATGTTGGAGAAAACAGAAATGAGTTGAACTGCAGTGAATGATTTTGTCAGAAGAATGCTGCCAAAAACAACAACAAAAAAATTTGGATCTTATTGCTGGAACTCAGGATCTGCTAGGGAAGTAACACTATGAATTTATCCTGTAGAATCTTTTAACAATTATCACCTGAGAAAAGAAAAAAGGTTAGACAGACCATTAGTCTGCCTTGATACCACAGTTCTTATGATGAAATACATGGTTTGTCATACATATAACTTACTAAATATTTATTTTGATTTTTTTCTTTAAAGAATGGAGCAGACGATGTGAAGAGACATCGGTGGTTCAGGTCTATAGATTGGGATGCTGTACCTCAAAGGAGACTAAAGGTATATTCTGCAAAATACTGTATAGGACATCGCAACAAGAAATCATTGTTCATTTAAGCTGATGTGTTGAAGTTTTGTTGCCTGTTGCATCTGTGTGTTCATATGTGTGTGTCAGCATGTGTGCATATGCACACATTAATAATTACATGCATTTTTGTCCTTTTACACTGCAGAATTAATTAAATGAATGTCTGCCTGCATTTTGGTCTATATACTAAATGTAAAAAAAAAAAAAAAAAAAATCCCGTCTTGTTTTGTTGAAGTTGATTAGTTAATACAACATTTAATTTTCAGTTTTATGGTTTCATAAGTGACTATCTATTGTAAGTAGTTTTTTGTTTGGGGGGATAGGGAGGATTGATGGTTTGTTGGTTGGTTTGCCCCCCGCCCCCCCGCCCCTTATATCTGTGGAAGTATTTTACTCTGGGCTTTAAATTTTTGTGCCAAGTTCAATTCAGGTAAATGCTTTAATAAAATGTAAAGCATATGGGATAGGAGGAAGAGGGAAGGTGAGAGAGAAGGATTTATGAATGTAATTCTAACATACTTTTTAACAGCACTGGCTGAATTCTAGTATTATATGAGGGCAGATGTTTGCAAAAGCTATCAACACTGCAAAATGCTTTTTAAAGTCCTTTGGAAGTAAAACTCCCTTCTTTCCCTTTTCAAAGTTCTAACTAGTACAATTTTTTACAGCAATGATTTTCAGTAACATAGGTGGCCATACACAGTAAATCAGGTACTGATTAAATGTTTGGGTTTCCTTTTCTTTGCATTAGTTTCTTACAATGAATTTCTGGCTAGGCATCTTGAGTTCTTGCAAAATAGATAAGAGATGAAAATGTTCTTGATGTGTTCTTGTAGACAACATCCTATTACAAAGCTGTAGATGACTTTTCTTTTAAAAAAAAGTTTACATTGTTTTAAATGTGTGGGGTTTGTTTGGGGGGGGGGTGTTAAGGATTACTACACCCAGTTGATGTTTCATGTAGATCTTTTGTAATGAAGTCACATTTTTCAAATTATTTACTGTAAATTCTGGTCACAGAAACCAGCAAAGAACACAAACTGGATGATAACATGTTTTATAAATACTTCAATGCCTGAAGTTTATGACAACCTACTGTATTACCAAATACATAACAAATAGTATTAAAACCTGAATGTTAGAGGTACAAATCAAGTCTCTCAGATCCAAACATCCTTTGTGTTGCATTTTTATTTAAAACAAACAAACAAACCCCCAACAAACTTCTTTCTTAATCCTTGTGCTGGTTACATTAAGCTCTTGGAAGACGAGATAAGATCTCAGAGCTAGCAGAAGCCAGACTTTTATCTTTTTGAGGAGATGCAGGATAACATTTTGCTGTACTTTATAGTTCTGTATGCAGTATGACTTTTATTAGCCAGTTTGGTGATCGTCTGTAAGGTTTTCTCATCCTAAAGTGTTTTGTTGGACTCATGACGATAGTTAAGCTCTCTGTTACTGAGAAGGGAATAGGGAGGTGAATGTCCCTTGAGAGAGGAAAAGGCTTTTGCCCTATATTAACCCCTGCAATTAATGAAATGTTCCAGAAAGGAGCTTGATCTCATAGCCTCTAGCCAGAGGGGCAGAGTAATCTTGATGCTACATATAAGACAAGGAAAAACTACAGGTACTGTGAAGCTGGTGGGCAATACTAGAAATTCAAAGGATCCTCTGAGGGAAGAAATAGAAAACAGATAACTTCTCTTTGCACTTCCAAGTTTCCTAAAATTAAGATGCTTTCACAGACATCCTTGTGAAATGAGTTTTTACAGTGCAGCAATTTCTTTACCTGCTTGAATTCATTGCTAGGCTATGAAAAAACATAGTAGGTAGTGTAAGGCATACACAAGTTAGTCATTTCAACCTCCTTAAAAGCAATCAATGTACTTGAAAGCAATGAAGAGAAGAGGAGGCTTTTTTCCTTCAATTAGGAAGCAGTTACCAACGCTGATATCAAGACTCTTAGTTGAAAGTGATTACATTCCTTTTTGCTCATAGGCCCCGGAAGAGGGGAAGAGTGAGGAAGGAGAGTGGCAGATTATGCTGTAACAGCATGTGCCTGGAAGCTTAGCTGTAGTAATCCTTTGCAGCAGTTACCTTCAGTCTGCAAAGCAGCTAGAACTTGAGTGCTAAATGAAATAGGTATCTGTATTATTAGTGTCTTTTAACAACGATACTTAACTGCAATACAAAGCGTTGGAACATGTCTATGTCACTGCAAGCTTGTCTCGCTCATGCCATTCACTATTAGTGAAAAAGGTGAACTTTTATAAATATATACTCCTTTTGCTTAATCAGTCTTTTACGGAATTTCTGCTTTAATCTGATGGAGAGGACCTCATTGAAGAAACTGTACTAACATTTTTGTTGTGCTTGTTCTGACTAGCCTCCCATAGTACCGAAAGTATCCAACGATGGGGATACTTCCAATTTTGAAGCTTATCCTGAAGATGACTGGAACAAGACGCCTCCAGTACCCGCTAAAGATCTAGAAATTTTCAAGAACTTCTGAATGTGACATCTGCACTGGATGAGGTATGTCCAAATGTCAAAGTCCATTGTAGGTCTGTGAGTGAGAGCCGTATGCAGAAACTACATCTTCTGATTCATAACAGTGATTAATACTTCCTTACAGCTTGTAAAAACAATATGAATTACAGTAATAGTATAACTAAACTGTTGAAATAAATATTGTAATAAAATATTGTAAAGCAGGCTTATGGAATGACAAAGATAATTTATCTCATAGGCTTTGGTGTTCTATAGTGTTGAAGAGTTATTCACATACAGATTTTTAAGTCCTTCTGTCCTTAAAATTTTTAAAATAGTGTGTTAAAAGCAAATATCTGAATTGATTTGACAGACAAGGAAATGTGATAGTTCTTGAATGCAAGACATACTCAGAATGAAGGCTTTAGTTAGAGGAATAAGATTGTGAAGTTAATTCTGTACCCTGGATTCTGTCTTGTAACTGTGATAGGTTGATACTTGTTATTCAAATCAAATGTTCCACATTGCATTTTGTGTTCCTTTTCATTATTTTTTGTCTTAGAAACTGGAAGGAAATTGAAGTGCTAAGAGCAAGTCTGAAGAAAAATGGAGGTCATACATAAATGAAGACTTTCTTTGTGAATAAGAATGATACAGCATTCCGATATGTGTATTAGTATATAGTAAATATCTAAAGAGTTAGAGGCAGGCAAGAATAATTTTTTGCTGTAAACATTTGACATTAGTTTAGTAAATTGTAATATTGATAGTCTACTCTGAAGTAGGCTCACTAAAATGGTATATTTTAGAAATTTTTTTTTTAACTTATGGTTTAGTTAAGTTTCCTGCTATTCCCAGATCCTTTTTGCATAATTAACTCATAGACTTAATTTTATAAGTTTATACTAAACTTGTGTAATTAAAAGCACAAATTAGTATATATGTATATAATGAATGCAACACAACTAAAGCACAGGAACTGTGCAAAGATGTAAATTTTTGTACTTTGCAGAGTCGATGATTTTTATTTTTCAAATAATGTTTTTCAAGAAGTTCTCTAGGAATAAAAATCTTAAAAGGATAAATAAGTTTTTCATCATCTTATATACATTTTATAATTCTTTGTAAAAAATAAAAATAATTAAGTTTTAAAAAAGATTTGTACCTAAAATTTCCAATGCCTCACACTTGTAACCATAGTACTTGAAAGCAGAAAGACAAGGGCATGTTTTACTGTTGATTAAGATGCATCTTAATGGCTAATTTAGGAAGTTCTGTTACATTGGTGTCTCCTTACAAACCAGGATATTGAGTGATTATACACTGTCTGACATGAGATTCCTCACATGAAGACTCTCTGTAAACATGCAATTCAGTGCGTACTGATAAAAGGGCTCTAACTGTCTCTTCCAGGAGTTGTTCTCTGTCAAGCATGCTGTTGTCTCCAAATGTTAAGCATGAGCCATAACAGACTTTTTTCATTATTGAAATAGTTGTTGTTGGATGCTTGGCACTTCAGAATATCAGAGGGAAGACTGAAAATATATTAGAGCCTGATTTTTCTGCTCCTGCTTTTGGAAATGTCCTAAAGTCTCTGCTGCCAGGAACTCCATATGTACACAGTTCAAACCTTAGATCTAAGGAGTCTGTCTTTTCATCCTGTATTAACATCTTTCTAGCAGCTTGAGTACACTGTATTTAGGAAGTATGTGCAATACTGCTTCATTTTAAGTAGCACCAAATATCAGTATGTGCATATGTATGTATCTATGTGTGTGAATACACATAAACATGAAGGTAGATTGTATACAAGTCAGAATCTTTTTTTAGGGTTTTTTTGTGTTCCATATTATGAAACTTGTGTTAATGTAGGACTGATTTTTGAAGTGCTTCGATTTCAAAAATTAAATACATTCTTTCAGATGTTGTGGTTTTAGATAACTTTTAGTGAAAATATTATATTTAGACCAAAAAATTTTTTTTTTCAAAAGCACATCAGCTCACTGGACTTCCACTACTATGACTGGCTCTACATCAAACTGTTAAGTAGATCATACAGGCAGTTTCTCCCACAAACTGCTTTCCACATTTTTCATCTGAAATGCCGTAAGAAACGTAGGCCAAAGATTCATTTTTTCTGAACTAAATCCTGAGTTTATGAAGTAGACATTCTAGTAATCATTAACAAAAGCACATCAGCTCACTGGACTTCCACTACTATGACTGGCTCTACATCAAACTGTTAAGTAGATCATACAGGCAGTTTCTCCCACAAACTGCTTTCCACATTTTTCATCTGAAATGCCGTAAGAAACGTAGGCCAAAGATTCATTTTTTCTGAACTAAATCCTGAGTTTATGAAGTAGACATTCTAGTAATCATTAATGAAATTACCATGTTTATAATTTTATGACAGATCTGCAGCTAGAGTCTCCTCATGGAAAAGTGACCTCCGTTTTCCTTTGTTTAGCTCTAAACAGTACAGAAGTGCTGTTGAGAACTTGCATTTTCTAGGGTATTAGATCTATTTCTTCATAAAGCAAGTCTAAGTTTAAGAGATTGCATAACTTTTTGCAAAAATACACAATGTGTAACAAAATCAGGGTACTTCAAAGTGGTAATTCTGGAATATCGCAAAGTCTTCTTGATGTTATGCAAGTGTCACAGATTGATGGCCCCAGCTGCCAGTCAGTAAATACTGTGTAGGAATGTATAATGAAATACAGGAAAATCCATAGAAAATTATTATTTTAACCTGGTGAAAATACCTTATTCTCTTGAAAAAAATGAATCTGGTCCACTGTATTTGTATCTGTGGAATTAGTTATTACAAATCAATCGGAAAAACTGAGGCACATAAAACATAGCTTACTTTGTCTAAGGGGACCAAGCATGGTTCAGCGGTTTTTTGGATTTTTTGGGTTTTTTTTTAATGTGTAAGCTTACAGTATTTTATGGAATCCGAGTACTACAAAACCAGTTTCTTATTTAAAAATGTACATACTGCAGCAAGCAAGTGTGCTAAATACCATTTTTTGTTTGGTTGGTTTTGTTTTTTTCAAATTTAAAAACTGCACTGTGTTTAAGTCTTCAAAGCTGAGGAAATGAAGTTGCATTTGACTAATGTGCCACATTGGTGGTTAGAAGTTTTGAATGCTTGAACAACAGAAGATAGTGGATTTTCTTTTTATGAATCTTATCCATTGCTGGCAGTGGATGCACTGACACTCATTATGATAGAGACTAAAGAAATGAATACAATCTTACTAATAACGCTAGTCCATTGACTTTACATTGTTTCCAGAGCCATGTGTACATATGCCTAACTACTGACCTCGTCAACATGCTTTCTAGTACAAAACCACTTTCAAATTTTTTTAATTAAAATCCTTAACTAAAAGAAAAAAACTACGAACATTTTTGAAGCATTATTTTAAGTGATCAGTTATTTTCTCTGCAGTCTTGGACTTAATGAGCTGTTATACCTGCCCATTTTTATTTATTTGCACAAGTGAGTCTGTCTTATTTTAAGTCTTTGCTGGGACTTCATGGCCCACTATCGTAGTTCTGTCCGAGTGCTCACGCAGAAGTCCCCAGATACACACTGCACTAAGGACTCTGGATTTATGGGGGTTTTTTTAAGCAGACTAGAATACTTTTTAATTTTCTATTCAAGTATGATATTCTCTGAAGTTCGTTTTATTATGGTTGCTTCTGTTAACGTGTTTTTTGTGTATAGACTGTTGCATAAGGACTGTTTTCTTGCAAGAGCCCATAGGCCTTTGGTATTCTGCTTCGGTGAACAAGAATGTTAAACATTAAAAAACAACCTTTATTTTTGAGTTTTATATATATATATATATAT